ATAAGGAAAAGCCAAATACGGACCGTGCGGTGAGGGTCTTTTGCCATCTCCTGCAAACTTTGACTGAAATGAATAGTTGGCACGCCGCATGGTCAACGCTGCAGTGCTTTACGAGGGTAATGCAGGAGATCACACAACACCCCGATCCCTCCAGGGAGTGTCAGATTATTGCCAATTCGGCAATGGCTGCTGTTTTTTGGAAGTGCTCACATTACGCGTTTCATGCCCATTGTTTGGGTGTTGCCGCCTTTTTGACCGGTAACGGGGGCGAAGCGGCGGCGGCGGCTTCCAGGGCGGTTTTGGCAACTCTCTGTGTGCCTAATACTAACAAGGAACGAAGGAATTTTGAGCGAGGGTCTGACTCTGTGTTTGAGAAGAATGCTCGGATTGCGCAGCTTTTTGGTCTTCAATCAGCTCCAGCGGGGCTGGCGCTTTGGCAACGGCTTCAACGGATGCAGGTTTTTCAGAAAGCCTTCCCCGAGGTACAAGCACTGGACGGATTATTACGGAACGAGATGTCCGATGAAAATATTGCACGACAGGCCATTAAACAGCTCTCCATTATTGTTCAGAAGGACCCTAGCCTGGAGATGTACGAAAAACCCCTGCGGAAAGTGGTCATTCAGAGGTACCTGGAGTGCATGGCGGTTCGAACAACCCGTGTGGAGGCATCATCGCTCCAAATAGGGGAGAATGAAGCATCGGAAGAAGTTTACATCCATGAGATTGAGCCGTATATTCTGAACGAATCTGGGATTGCGGTGGAGATCGATCACAAAACGGGGTTCATATCGTTCAGCAACACGACGAAGATGAGGGTGCTGGAGGCATTCGATGGATTGGCGGAGCGGGTGGACTTTCATCCACCTGCGCTCCGAAGGAAAATTGATATCAGGCCCGAGCATCTCCTGCGTGCCCATGATCGAAGCAGCATTATTCACCGCTTGCAGCACACCTGCGAGGAGACTGCGGAGGCGCGACGACAGAGTGCCAAAGAGAGGGAGGAGGCAGAGCGCGAGAACGCCAGGCTGGAGCGTATTCAGAACGAAGAAAAGAAGAAGGAGGCGGTCCGCCTGGCGCAGGAGGCTCGGGGCCTCGCAGAGTACCAGGAGCACATAAATCAAAACAGACGAAAGGTTGTACTGCGCCGTCTGAAGGAAAAGTACAAGGGGTTTGATGCCCCTCCGGCGTTGACGCTGCGAGCTTCCACGGACTTTGTTCAGGAGTTAACGACGCTGTTGACGGCGCATCTCAAAAAGACGACGCAGCAGAAAACGGCAGATGTAACGAAGATGAACCACTTTGAACGGGCATGCAGAGAACTTGAAATTCCAAAGCGAAAAGCCATTGAGCTTGAGGAATTAGAGCAACACAAAGCGGAGCGGGCGGCGGCGCGGGAGAACTTTCTAATCCAGCACCGAAAAGAGTTTGAGAAGCGGCAACTGGACAATCAAATACTAAAGAAATTCATTAAGGAAGCCGCTGTCTTTGCAGAACAAACACAAATGAAAGGAAAGACTTCTAAACGTGACGAACAACAGATGCTTCTTCAGCAAGAGAGGGAACGTCTGCAGGGGCTGTAGTGCGGTAAGGAGAATTGTCTCCATTCCTGCGGTGTTCGCCGCATTAGATAACATTCTCTTAAGTAAGGACCATATAATTAAATACGTACACGCGTACACGTACGTGCCTTTTTTTTTTTTTTTTCTTGTTCTTCTTCGTATTGTTTTGGCTGTTTTCTGTGTATTTTTTTTTTCTTTTTAAGCTTTCCCTTTATTTTCCTTTTTTCCCCCTTTTATGGAAAAGGGGAATTGTCTTTTTTTTTTTTTTTTAAGGTCTTTTTCCATTTTCTTTTTTCTTTTCCGTTGATTTTTCCCTTTAGACACTCACCCAGAAGTAAGTTGGCTCCTGTTAAATGGGCGGTTTAACGGTCTCTCGAGTGAAGTTATGATTTATGGCGCCCTTCAAGAAGGACGGATGCCGACCATTTTCTCCACTTTCACGTGGATGAGGACTGAGCAAATGTCGTGGTTGCATTTTTTTTGTTTTGTTGTGAGGGGTGTGTGTGGGAGGAGTTCATCGTGAATTCATTTCCGGCGGGTTTGCTTAAAATTGCCCTGGGGTGGCTGCGTGGGGCCCCTCCTGGTGGATGACTGGAGACAACGACGGTGCGGGCGCGGCTTAAGCGCCCTTTTGAACTCCCGACACCATCGACCGCGTTGCTCCCATTGTGTCTTTCACGGCGTTTTACTGCGTTTATACATAATTTTGAACGTGAAAAAACCGGAATGCTGAAAAAAAAAGAAAAAACAAAAGAAAGAAAAAGAAAATTGGTTCACCCATGTTGATTCATGCAGGCGAAACTGTCGCTAACTTCGGGCCGTCGAGAGGGCGCAACTCACCCGGCGACGGCACCCCGGTGGGATCACCAGCGCCCGAATTTTGCCGCCCAACGTGCGATTTTTAGTGCCGCAGCAATGACGGACCGACCCGCCACCACACGGCACGGCACGCCACGGGTATCGGCCGGGGATCGCGAAGCCCATCCAACGTGAACTGTGCGATGAGACAATTCCGCATCTACTCCGCTGCCCGGCTCTGCAGTAAATTAGACAAAACGTGAAGCGGACACTTGGGAAGTGAGGAAGCTCTGCCTCACGAAAGGGTTGGCGCAGTTTCTCCTCTGGGTTTAAAGGCTTTGCCCCCCAACAGTACCTCTGCGTGGCGAGGAGGCACGAAGCCCCTCGCAGATGCGGCATAACATCGATGCTCTTGGCAGGTGCCTCCACACTTTTCATTATTTATTGACTGCCTGGTTGATTGATTTATGGAATTGTTATTTTAGAGATCCTCGGCAGCAACGGATGATTGAGCCACGGCGCTAGCCCGGGCGGATGCGTAACGGGGCTGCGGTTCACGGCCTCCACTGCGGCGCCCTCTCCGGGGGCCGGGGCTCTCCTTCACGTCTCCACTCAGCAGGGCGGACGTGCTCGACGATGCTGGCCGGCGTGCGGGCCGTCGAATTTATTTGAGAAAACAAAATGAAAGAGAAAGACAGGTGATAAGTAAAAAACGAGATATACTCGCGTTCACATTGTTCCGCACGTAAGACCAACGGATACCCTGCCTGGATTCTATTACACAACTTACCGTAGTTCCAACGTCATTACCGTACTTCATCTGTCGCGACGCTATTTGGAATAGGAGTGGGAGATGTTGGCGTTTGGGTTGCAGGGCGATGCTCTACCTGAGGAATGGTGCGAAATGGGCGTGCCTCCACTGCGGCAACAGCGGAACGACACATTACTGCGGCACGGCGGCTCACGTGTTTCTTTGTGCCGCAACCCCCTAACATCAATAATCAAGGCGGCAGCATTATGGGGCAATTTGAGTACGGAGCTTTAAACAGTGATAAAACACTGCCACTCTTTTTTGAGATTTCACGCGGAAGAAGAGGGCAATAACTTCATAATGGCAACATATTTTATACGTTGTTTCTTTTGCATTCCCACTCTGTTGTGAATTTTGATCACATTGTTATCTGCCAGTGGAGGGATACAATTTTCTCCACAAGTACACGAAAAAAGAAGAACATGGTGTTGTGTGCTGGAGTTTCTTCTGTGCCACTGCCGTCCTGTGGGCTGCCAAAACAAATTGCTATGTGTATTTAGCTTTGTGGAACCGGTAAGTGCACGGTACTGGTTGAGGGGAGGGCGCGAGGCTACGGCTGCTGCTGCGCCACGGAATTTATCGCTTCTTGCACCGGCACTTTTTTGATGCTTGTTTTTGTGACATGGTTCTATTTTGTGCGACTGCTTGCATGACTCCTTCCTGTTCCACGATGACTCTGTGGGGAAGGGGATTGAGTTGTCGCTCTTGTTACTCCTGATGTTTTTATCGTTTGCTCTCACCAACGCTGTGCTGAATGGATGGCACCGACTTGCCGTCGTTGCGGTGGTTTCTGTGCATGTGGTGTGCATCGCAAACTGTGCGATTACGCCGTGCGTATTGCTCTCTTGCTGTGGCTGCCATTCATGCCGGTGACTATTGTCTTCTCCTCCTATTTCTTTTTTGATTAGTGGTCAGTGTTCAGCTTTAACTCAATCCAACTACGAAAACAGGCATATAACCAATATTCACACAGGAGTAAATAAACAAGGCCATCTCACGGGCGCGGAATTCAACGAAGGTGGTTGAAGGATACACGCTGGAGGGATGCTACGAGTCTGTGTACAATGCGAGGTGGCATCATGTCGTGGAGGTTTCTGACGGCAAAGGGGCGGGAATGTGTGTGAGGGAGGGGGAACCACCGCAGTCATGGACGTACAAGGCAGTTGGCCGAACCCTCGAAAAGGATGACGGTGTGCAGCAATCCGGTGCACCGATTCCCAGGCTGATGGTGCTCACCTCGGACAAGGGATGGCCGTACTCGTGGAAGGGGGAGTGAATTCAGTTGTGACTGCTATGTGAACTGTGAGGTGGAGCGGGTGTGGCAGACCGTCAAGGGCGATCCCAGCGAATGGTTCAGCCCTCTTCGTGAAGTCAAGGCTCTGTTTGAAAGGCGTGTGTTGATTGGGGCGTCCGGTATCGGGAAGTCGATGGCTGCCGGTTCGCACCTCCTCTACCAGCTGCTGCACTGCGGTGCGGAACAAATCCCTGTGGTTGCGTACTTTATTGCGGAACAAACATTCCTGTTTGACAAGACCACCAAGACGATGTCAGAAGACGTGGTTGAGCCGGACACCCTGAATATTGTGGACGGCTTGTCTGACCGTGGGTTTAAGGGGTGTCTTATCTACGACGTGGCAATGAAGGGTTGTCAACCGTCTACTGCTTTGTCTTGCAAGGGATGGGGCATGATTTTGGTGACGTCACCACACGCGAGTCAACACTAACACTGGGCGGAGCAAGTTGGAGCCACACGAATAATAATGAATTGCCCTGACGAAAGCGATGTGAGGGCAATGTGCGTTTGGAAAAAGCACAATCGGCCTGCGCAGCGGCAAGCAGATTACGGGCACGAGGTGAAGGGTCGCATGGATAATGTGGGACCGTTTCTCCGCTACATCTTTGATGAGCAAGCATATGATGATTGGATTGAGAAGTGTCACGAAGCCGTGGATGGGATGGCCTTTTTGGAAACCGAGTATGACTTTGTTTTGGGGGATTCTATGACGTGGGATGATAATAACGTGTTCCACTGACTTGCGAAGGTTGTACGAGTACGAGAGTGAATGCGCAATTTCGGGTGGCATTTCAATGCGCCGATATCTGCCCATCTTGGAAATAAAATATTGTGCATGTTGGCAATGCTAATGCAGCAGAATGATTTTAATTTACTCATATTGAGACTCCAGCATAATCCAGCATCAAAAAATACGGAAAAGTGTACCGTGATTGCATTTTTGGGTGAGGACTTCATAACTGCAGTACGACACAAACTGAGGGAGCTGAAGCTAACAACACGACGTCAGCCACACCGCTGTGCGCTGGAGGTGTACCCACAGGAGCGCCCCACCAGGCACTGTGTTTTACTTTCACTGGAATACTTTTCCGAGAAGGTTGGTGTAAATTGCTGGGCGTTGTACGTGCCGGAGGTGGAGGACTTTCCGCTTTTGGACGCCCTTTTCTTTGTGGAGTCAGATCCAATGCCGCTGGTGGTCTGCAGATGAGTACTGCGGGTGGGCAGCACACCACAGCCGGCACTGTGAAGCGGTTCGCTGATCGTCTGGGGGAATATTTTAATGGTTGGGATGAATTATCCCGAGGCATGTCGTGGGAGATGATTATTTATATACAACATGCAGACAGCAAGCCGATGAATGGCTGGCGAGATGTGATGTCTTCAATTTCAAGGACAAGAGCAAGGAGGAAAAATAAATCGAGGTGTTCTGGGAAAAAGGGTACGCCAGTGCCGAGTGTCAATATCGAAAGAAGTAATGAAAGGGGCGAAGCTCTCCGAAGTGAGGAATAACAACAGAAATGAAAAAAAAGGAAAAAAACAATTAGGGAATAAAGGGGATGTTTTGATTTGTAGTAAAAACATTGGGGGCTGTTTCATATAATTTTGGATACTTTTGTGTGTGTGTGCGAGGCATAATTGGGGAGATGCTCTGTCATGAGAGAATCATTGCGGCCGGCGGTGTCGCAGTACTACAGCATTCTTCATTTTCTTTTTTTTTGTTTTATGGCCCATTATTAACGGAGGCATCTTCAAGGCATGGATGACGAATAATTTCTATTGGGGAAGCAGTGCACTCCGTGTGACCGCACGGAGTGAGGCGCCGCATCGCACTGAGGGCGGGATGGCAGTGGATTTTTTCGTGCCACGCCATGGCTGGATGAGGAGCCACTTCCGCGTGTGGCTGGTGGTGTGGGCGCTCGTTCGGTGTGCGTTGTGTGTTGGCTGCGTGGCTGTGGCCGCGTCCCGCAGGCTGTGGGATTGGACGAGAGGCGGCGGCGGTGTGTCTCTTCTCCTCGTCCTTGTCCATTGGTGTGTGGCTGCTGGCGTTGTGTGCGTTTGTTGTGTGGAGGGCCGAATCCTCTCACCTGCGGACTGACGGCACTGCGATTTTTTTTTGTC